GTATTCTGGTAGTCTAGGAATCACACTGAGAAATACCTATGGCTGGCATGTAGCAGGAACCTGAAGAGTGGCTGTTATTATTATCTTCATTCTCACCTGTTCTACCTACCTCATAGCTGGCCCTGGAGAATATGAGAGCCCTTCTGTGTGCTGTATGTCAAGTTGCCCACACAGCATGTCTAGCTCACTCTGACTAGGTGCTCCCAGGGCTTTATCTACTTGGTTACTTCATAGACTATATTGGAACTGCTGTGTTGTAAGCTCAATGGCCTTATCTATCTTGCACATAGCTGTGGTACTGGTGCTTTACACAGTGTCTAGTATGTAGGAAAAGATCAATAAATATTTATGAAATGAATATACAAATCAAGATGAGAGAAATTATTATCTTCTGTGATCTGGGACTAACTATGGAGAAAAAACACTGGATGAAGAATCCTTTTTAAAATGTTTATGCACCCAACATAGGAGTACCTAAATATAGAAAACAAATATTAACAGACCTCAAAGGGAGAAAGAGACAGCAATACAATAATAGTAGGGGACTTTAATACCCCAATTTCATCAATGGATATATCATCCAGACAGAAAATCAATGAGGAAACATTTGAATAAAATGATGTGCTGGACAGAGTGGACTTAACAAACATATACAGAACATTTTATCCAAAGCAACAGAATACACATTTGTCTCAAGCACACATGGAACACTGTCCATAACATAAACCATATGTTAGGGCACACACAAAAACATCTTAATAAATTTAAGAAGACTGAAATCATATCAATCTTTTCCCAACCAAAATGGTATGAAACTAGAAATCAATTACAAGAAGACAACTGGAATATTCACAAATATGTGGAGCTTAAACAACACGATGCTGAACAACCAGCGGGTCGAAGAAGAAATCAAAGAAGAAATAAAAAAATACCTTATGACAAATGAAAATGGAAATACAATGTACCAAAACCTATGGGACACTGCCAATGAAATTATAAGCAAGAAACTCATAGTGATAAATGCCTACATCAAGAAAGAAGAAAGATCTCAAATAAACAATCTAACTTTACATCTCAAGGAACTAGAAAAAGAACAAAGCCCAAAGTTAGCAGAAGGGAAAAAATGACAAAGATCAGAGCAGAAAGAAATGGAGATTAAAAGACAATAGAAAAGATCAGTGTGACTACATTTATCATGGTGAACACTGAATAATATATAGAATTACTGAATCAATGTTGTATACCTGAAACTAATACATTTTATATTAATTATATTTCAAAAAGAAGAAAAGATCAATGAAACTAAGAGCTGATTTTTTAAAAAAGATAAAATTAACAAGCCTTTCGCTAGACTGACCAAGAAAAAAAAGAGGGCTCAAATAAATAAAATCAGAAATGAAAGAGGAGATATTACAATTCATAGCACAGAAATACAAAGGATTGTAAGAGACTACTATGAACCATTATATGCCAATATGCAAATACATTAGATCATTTAAGAAGAAATGGATCAATTCCTTGAAACATACAACCTAACAAGACTAAATCAGGAAGAAATAGAAAATCTGGAAAGAAGTAATCCTTGCACCTATGATACTGAGGATTCTAAATAAGTTAAGTGTTGAACGGATGAACAAAGAAATGAATGAAATAATAAACAGATTAGGAACTAAAAGTATCATAAACTCTTAGTAATCAGAGGTTTCTGGATTACTAATGGCGAAAGAAAATAGGGCATATGAAAATAACTGAATCTATTTACATGTTAGAAAGTATCTACTGTTTGGAACCAGGCTGTAAGCATAAACAGATTCTAAATGTTCTGATTCTAAATAGAGTCTACATGTTCTGATTCTAAACAGGCTACCATCATGTAGTGATATTTGCCAATAAGCCTACATTGTGGCAAAGTACCTCTGTCCCCAAGACTGAGCCCAGTGCTATATACTTGATAGATACTCAGTTAACATTTAAAAAACCAAACTAATACCACTAATGAAAATGTCTGTGAATAAAGCTATATTGGCAGTTCTATCAAAAACAAGAGACTCATGTAATGTATACTTCCTGATTAGAAATAGAATAATTAGTGATATAAAGGTTAGTCCATTCTGGGCTATTAAAGAATCATTCAGAGTATAATGTTTGGGCTTGGTTCTATTTAATAAAAACGCTGTATAGTATAGGTATCCCTGGTGGCACTAATACAATGGAATCACTGAAGTGATGGATGTAACTGAACCAAAGTTAAGTTTACATAAATTCAGGCCTCGGAAGCCATTCTCCAAACCTGTTTATGAATTTGATTTTCATTGCAAGCTTCAGGTAAAGTGTTACTGGAAATTTTTTTTAAGAGTAAAGGCAAAATCACAATTACAAGGGACAGTGTTTCTTGTCACATACTCAGCAGATACCAAATCCATTAGGATCTACGCATAATCCAAAACAAGTCTTTGAACCTAGAAAGGCTTTTCTTAGGAACTCTACTTGTGCACTGAATGATAACTTTCATGAAGACACTCTAAAAACAAAGAGAAATCCTTACCTCTTGCAGTTAAATTTCAATAAAAATTTCAATTAATATGGAGCCTTGGATTTTTCCTGTAACCCTCATATTAAATTTTGTGCTCAGTATTAAAGGAATTAAAGTCAATTTCTTTACCAATGAATTACGAGGAACACAAATTAAGATGAAAGAATGAACTGGGAATATGCATGCAAATATTGTGCATTCATATTATTATACAGCATAATCTGTAAATCTAGTACTAATGAGACTCAAGATTTAAATGGCTGAAGAATGTGTTTAGTGAATTATTGTCAATCAATGCCTCTATTCCAGGATAAACGTAATCTTGAATGGCAACACACCTATTATTACAAATTCCTAAGTAAGTACAGTACTTCATTATTTCAAAATGTCACTGTCAATTTATAGAGTAACAGATAAACATCTTTCCACCATATACCTGATTACCTTTTCTTTGAGTAAATGAAACACTGACTATTAAGGAAAATTACAAACATCATTTTTCCCGCAATAAAAGAAACCTAATGTGTATAAAACTCTAAACTAGTTACAGCACTCTAAGTTTTCATATTTGTTAATATGGACACATCAGGTTTTACACCACTGCAATCAAGAATTATTTTTTTCAAGTAACATTATTTCATATGAATTCTTCCCAAGTATTAATTTATTCAGTCATTTAATAAAAATTTACTGAGTAGCTACTTTGTCCTAGGTACACTGTTAGAGGATACAGTTATAAATGTGAATATGATACAACTCTGGCTCTTAAACTCAGTCTAACAGAAGAAAGAGACAAGCAAGTAAGGTAAAATACAATGGTTCTACCTTATATTAAAATTGTCTACATGTTTTCCACTTGCAATAGCCAATGGGTATTATAGTGAAAACACTCACTATAGCTGGAAACTTTTCATCATTGCTCAGAAATCAAACTCTCCCTACTTGTCCATGAAAGATTTCTTTCAGTTAAAAATATTAGGAAGGACAATTTAAGAAATACCTGTGAACTGAGCATCTTAAATTAACAAATGCTAACATGTGTTTCATATTTTATCTTTAGGCTAGTCTCCAAATCCGGAAATTTTTTGACTGATAGAGCACTAATAGTTACTTGAGATTATTATAGGTCCTACTAGTTGTGTGATCTTGGGTAAATTAACTTAACTACCCCTTTTTTTTAAAGATTTTATTTATTTATTTGACAGAGAGAGACACAGCGAGAGAGGGAACACAAGCAGTGGGAGTGAGAGAGGGAGAAGCAGGCTTCCCGTGGAGCAGGGAGCCCGATGCGGGGCTAGATCCCAGGACCCTGGGGGATCATGACCTGAGCCAAAGGCAGACGTTTAACCACTGAGCCACCCAGGCGCCCCTAATCCTTTTGATTCTGTTTTCTCACCTGAAAAGTGGAGATAATATAGTACCAATCTATGCTAGACTATCTCCCATTTGCCCCTCAGTATCCATGCTCCACCTAGCTTTTTGCCCAGGGAGGTTCTCTCACCTTTGAGCATACAGGTTAGGTAGGTAATATTAGCAGAAGATCAGAGTATGGAAGGAAAATAAAGCTATTCCCTGGTTTTCTCCCTAACAGGTCACCAAGCGCTGGCTATATTCCTCTATCAGATATAGTCCTCTCGATATACCACCCTCTCCAAGGCCTTTAGGCCTACAGGTGGTAATGGCTCCCTTTAGCCCTAGAGTCGGTACTATCCACTGTTGACTTCCATAAACCCTGCCCTTACCTTTATAAACAGTTCTCTTGTTAAATTGTTCTCATATAAACCAGTTTGAAAGTGCCATGTGTTTTCTGCCAGAACTCTGTGTGACTCATATACAACCTCATGGGGTTGTTTTGAGATCACATGAGATAATATATGTAAAGTGCTTAGCTCAGTGCTTCGCACATTATAAATATTCAGTAAGAGTTGAGTACTATTGTCATGATCAATATTGCTGTTATTATTATTTTATTTGAGGTTCCACACTCATGCCATCTATACCAACTGAATATATCCAGGAGACTGAGAAATTCAGAATTCTGGAGATCTTTTACTAATTCTCACAGTGCTTCAGAAATGTAAAATGTGTTTATTGCTAATCAACCTCAATATTTAAAAGAGTAAAAGGATCCTGAAAGTGAGTGAAAAAACCACATAGTGCACAGGATTTCCTGGACTGTCATTTCTTTTGTAAATATGCTTCAGAATTCATTTCCTGCAAATTGACCTCCTGCCACCACTCCAAATCTAACAAGTATAAATGTCCATAAAGTTAAACAAATTGTTGGGTCTTGGGGTCATGAAAAGAATGGACTGAAAGGTAAACTCAATGGCATAAAAGTCCTTGGTTAATCTGGAAATGCATCTTCATCATACTTATTTATCAATCATGACATAGGCAAGTGTCTCCTTTTGACAAATTATTTCATCAAAATCCTATTAAAGGTCTACTTAACCTTTCATCTTACCTCATCCTTTATATCTTCCTGTTGTTGGGCCGTGAAGATCTCCATTGCAGCCATGAGTCTCATCATTAACTCATCCACTGTGGTGTTACCTAGCAACACATGGAGATTGCCAAATTTCACATTAGTGAAGTTATTATAAAATGGAAAAATCATTCTAGAATTAATCAGTAAGGAACAGCTACAGTCTAATAAAAATGACATACTATGCTAGTATCTGTTAAAATACTTTCATATTTTCATTGAAAAGTTTCATATGTTCACTGTGAAAGAGTAAAGCAGTGTATAGGCAGTTGAAATTTCAAATACAGTAGATTTGAAGGAACCATCTGTTAATGAGAAAGATTTTCAGCTCTATGAAGAACAATGTCCAAGTAATGAGAATCAAAAGTTCTTTCAAGTTACAGAAACATTATCTACTTAAAAATACTAGCAACAACTACCATTTGTTTATATGCCAGTAATTAGGCTAAGCACTTTATATATATTACCTCATTTAACCTGCACAACAATTCTTTGAAGGTATCATTAGGATTTTGACTTTAAAGAGAAGGAAAAATGAGGCCTTGAGAGCTGGAGTAGCCTGTGCAATCAAGGTCAGGCTGAGTAAGTGGTGGGACAAGAATTTGAAACTAAATGAGTGACTCAAAAGCCTGTTCTCTTTGCCACCTCAATACACTATTTAGAATTATCTCCTATCATTAAAAATTCTTTGGTGAAGCAGATAGTAATTCATTTTCTAAAAAAACTGAGTTCTTTTTTTGCCCAGTTGATATTTTTCTCTTTCAGCTGCTTTCAAATGACTATACTATAAACTTTATGAGTATTTATTTATTTTTAAGTTTTCATTTTAATTCCAGTTAGTTACCATACAATGTTATATTGGTTTTATGAGAGTATTAAAATGTTTGATTTTCCTTAATGCTATTTTATTCCCTGTCCAAGGCCATAACAAGCCTATAGCAGATATATGCTATTTCCTGAATGCACTCTCCTGTTGCTTGCTTTCGATACATCTACAACAGAGAAATCCATAGAGATATAGCAATTCTTCTCTTCTTTCAAGACTATGGGCAAAGAACCCATCTTCCTTCAGGGCCTGAGCAGAGGTCTTCCTGTCCCATTGATGAAATAGGACAAGTAGTATCCTTGTTAGTGTTATTTTGGAGTAGGGCTGGACTAACATTGTCTTTCAATGGTCTGTTTCTCAATTTTCCTTATGACCACTGGCAGCATGTTAGGGAGCATGTGTGGTCCTTAACAAAAAAAATCATGGTACTGAGAAAGCAGAACTAGTTTTGTAGTCATAGTTCTAACTCTAGTTCCGCTACTTACAAACTATATGATCTCTAGTACCTAGAAATTGCCTAGCATGTGACAAGGGCTTAATAAATATTCACTTAGTAAATGAATAAATAAGTGAATGAGTGACTGACTATAGCTCTCTAAGGATCAATTCCCTTCACAGTAAAATGAAGATAATACTACCTCTGTATATAGGACACACGATCACTGGTAGTTATTATGAATAGATATAACAAATGGCAAAAAGTTTAGGAGTACCTTCAATGTAGATTTGGATACTGGGCAAATCTTTGAGTTTCCCTTTCTTTCTTTTTTTTTTTATTGTTTAAATTCTTTTTTTTTCCTTTATTATGTTATGTTAATCACATACATTACATCATTAGTTTTTGATGTAGTGTTCCATGATTCATTGTTTGCGTGTAACACCCAGTGCTCCATTCAGTACGTGCCCTCTTTAATACCCATCACCAGGCTAACCCATCCCCCCATCCCCCTCCCCTCTAGAACCCTCAGTTTGTTTCTCAGAGTTCATAGTCTCTCATGGTTAAGAAGGGGGGGAAATCGGAGGGGGAGACGAACTGCAGTGGTTTTCAAACTTCTGTTTTTAGAACTTGTTTACACCCTTAGCAACTACTGAGATCCTGAAATAAGTTTTATGTGGGTTATTTTTATCAACATTTACTGTGTTAGAAATTAAAGCTGAAATACTTAAAACATATTTATCAATTCATTAAAAGTAACAATACTAAACCCATTACATGTTTATAAATACAAGATTTTTATGAAAAATGGCTCTATGTTCCATAGGGAAAAGTCTAGTGAGAAGAATGGTATTGTTTTCACATTTTTGCAAATGTTTTTAACGTCTGGCTTAAGAGAACATAACCGGATTCTCACATCCACTTCTATATTAAACCAGTTACAATATGTTGTCTTATGCCTTAGCTGAAATTTATGAAGCAAATCTGGCCTCACATAGATATATAGTTGAAAAAGGGAGGAGTATTGTAATAAATAATTATAAATATTCTTTGATACACCCAAACTGACAAGTGGAAGTTTCTTCAAGTATGTGAAGAATTTGAAACCATTAATGAACTTTTTGTACTTTGCTATATTAAGATCCACTGACCTATCTCACTCTTTGAATGGATCTTTTACCTGTGCATTATTTTATAACATCATGCACTGGTCATGTGGAAAATATTGGTTTACTAACTTAAGCATTTATCTTCAATGTTGACATAACTATATGATATCAAAAAAATCATATTAACATTACAGCTGATGTCATCAGAAAATTATTTAAGCTGTCAATCTTATGGTGGAGGATATAACATTTTGCCTAAAAGCTCAAATTTTATCATTGGCAACAAGTACTGTCAGTTCTCTTTTCTTGAAGTGATAGACTCACTTTGTTCATTCTGTAGAAAATGTTTGCCAAATACCCAGGCTATCTAAGTATAGTTTGTCTGTCAGTTATTTTCAAGTAAAAGTGATGTTCTCTAAGAAAAAATGACTAGTAGTTCAGCTCAAGCAACCACACAAGTGCTTTTCTTTGAGACTACCTTTGTACTCTGAAATGCAGCAGAAACGCATTCTCCATACCTCTTATTGTATCACACAAACTATAAAAAGGGTTAAAATTTAATAAAATAATTTTTTAATTGCACAAAATGGAGGTAAAGAATACGACTACTGGTATAGTTTTGGTCATGACCTTGATTGTGTGAAGGTGCCAATAGTTTTACACAACACTGATTTTGTGCCACCAGTGCAAATGTCAACACAGTAAAAAAATGGAAAAGTCTTTTTACTGTCATGAAAATAATTTGACCTCATGGATCCACTGAAAGGGTCTAGAGGACCTCCAGAACCACGGACCATATTTTGAGAACCACTATTATAATATTGCCTCTGACAGGGAAAACAGGAATGAAATATTATTTTCATTATCCATTTACCCTATGCAATTCATTCCCCCTGCAGATCTTCTTTAGCACTGTTTATGAAACTCAATGTTCTAGTTACAGAGCAAACATAAAATACCAGAGGTTTTATTTTGAGTTTTAAAGGCACTAGAATTTACATCACACACCCCCATCATATTATCTGCTATACAACTTTTGACTTAAATAGGGTTTGTAAAAATAAAGTATCTCAAACACAAGCTTTAGCCTGGGGCCCTTGAAACATCTTTTTCCCTGGGGCATAGAAAAGATATACTGTTTTCAATTTAAGTTGTGCTATAAATAAGGTAATATTTTATAATAATCCTTGGTGTTTATCAGTAATAGTAAAAAAAATTCACGTTTTTTGTTTGTAAAGAATATATAATGCAATTACATTCATAGGCTTCCTATAGCTTCACGCCTTAGCGCTGCATCCTAGACACAAATTCACACAATTAAGGGGAAACAACTACAACTGTGTGAACAATTAATTTGCAATATCCAGTCACTGGATTTTCTAGATAACTGAAGTTAAGCATTTCTTTCAACTAATCAACATTACAGAAAGAAATCAATACATGTATAAGAAATGTCATATTTGACAACTGATTATGACTTGATTGCTAGTTTAGAGAACTTAGCAATTCTGAACATTTAACATGATTATGCTCTGTCCAAAGGGCTGTGCAACTTTATTAAGAAATTTCTGTTAGATTTTCATGCAGCATATTTTATTTTTCATAGATCCTATATTTTTTGAAGATGTTCTTCTTTAGGATATTCTATGTTTGAAAATACAAAGATGTGCACTCATATAGAGAATTACAGTCAACTTTGATGGTAAATATTATAATGTTATCACATACACAAGAAGACACTCTACTCCCCTTGTGACATGTACTTTACCTTGTATCACATTTAACACTTCATTAGATGATCGCTTTCCCATAATAATCAGAAAAAGTGGAAACTGATCTGTTTTTTGAGTCCGAATGGTTTGTGCAACAACACTGCCAAAATGTCTGTTGCACATTGTCAGAAATCTAAAATGAGACAAAAGCCAAAGTAAATTTCATTTCAGAGTTTAATAAATTTACTAGTACCCCAACAGAAAACTCACTATTTTACTAATTATGTTAGTAATAATTAGATAGCCTGTCTGATATCAATATATAAAATCTTGCTACATTGAGTTTTCAACTGCATCTTAAATGATATAGAAATGACTACCATATAGAAAGGCAGGCAGCACACCCTAAATGGTGTCTGGGGCTGACAGCGTAGGATTCTTAGTCTTAAACGTTTCAAGCTATATTGACCTAGACTATGAGAAAAACAAACAAACTGAATTTTAAGAGAAAATAATTTCTTAAATAGGACAAATATTGTATGGTACAAAGTTAAATTGACTGGCAGCATCCTAGTCTAAACAGGATTTAGCAACATTTTCACAAGTCTTTAGAATCAAGAATTGTACTTTAGAATTGTGTTTTCTCCAGTAGTAGCAGGTCTTCTGGTTTCATACTTACCATGGGATAAAAATAATAATTCTAAGCTTTTACCAAAAAAAGCTCAGAGATATTAGCATACTGAAGTCTAGCATTAGTATTCTTAACACGATCTGGAATAAATGAAAAAACTGATAAAGCTTTTCTCTTCTATTAGAGGACTGTTTGAAATTAGCATTTCTTTCAAGAGAAAAGGGTAGCTTATGATATGTTTTCAGATCTGATGGTAAAAAGTAAATGTCATAATAATAATGAATTATGAAAGACCAAATGCAAATATAGAATGCTTTAATAAGATCCAATTTAATAAAGTCTGTAAAAATAATGGACTTTTAATAACACAGGTCACAAAAGGCAAAACAGTGGAAATTCTGGGGACTAGCCACTGGTACTGGCTTATTAATTCTTAATTATGTTCATGAAAGGCAACTTAAATCGTGTGTTTTCTTATGCCTTATGATAATATTTTAGGTAACAACTCCTCCGAAATGTATGTTCTAGCTGATGAGCAAAATCCTGTTGTCACATGCATTAGAAGGTAAACCTATTTGAAAAGACAAACGGCATGAAAATGTCATGTGCTCAGATTCATTTGATAACCAAATTCAAAACAGAATCAAACCTCTTAATTTTTAAAGCCAATATATCTCTTGTCTATAGAAATTCATTCCAGAAATTTAGGCTGAATTCTCCATAAAACCTGTGCTGTGACTACAAAAGTAGACCATGTTAAGGGCCACTAGAACTGTCAGCAAGAGTGTCAAGACAAGTTAGCACCACCGCAATAAGTTCATTGGGAGGCGGTTTCATATTTACATTTAGAGCAGCAATAACCAGACCTCATGGCAATTTGAAATGACAAGGCCCTAAGAAATCCATTGTTGGCCATATCAGTGCTCCCATGAAAATTCAGATCTTCACATTCCAGAACTATTACACGATAAAAGGTGCTCAAGCAGCCTAAGCCTCTGGTACCAAATTTCATACCCATATAGCTTTAACTCATCAATAGAGATGTGTAGATCAGAACACTAGAAAGTTAGGATCTCATTTTTCTTTCTGCTCTTACGAAAATATTTGAAGTCTATCTTGATCCTGATTTGATCACTGTTGACCTCTGAATTTAAAGATGTCAAAAAACAGTTGGAATGTCATTCCCTACAAAAGGGAGAAAATAAGTCCTTGTTGCTTTCACACCAATGGATTAAGTGGATATCACACAGTAGATGCCCATCACAGTACTAGCCTCACAAGTGATATTAAATACTACCTAAACAGGATATCCCCAAAAAATGAAGGAAAGAAAGAGAGATGGAGGCAGGTAGGCAGGCAGACTGGCTAGCTTAATGGCTTAAAGAATTCAATTTCAAGGTAATTTTGCCCAGAAATTGTGTACTTCCCAAATTGTCTTTTTATGAAAATGAGCTAGAAGGAAAAATAATTATGAAAATATAGGTATCTTATTAGGTTTAAATTAATATACAACACAAATTTCAAAACTTCATAAAACATATTCAAGAGAGATAGAGCCTTCAAAGGTACATTAGCTGCTCAATTAATTATAAAAAACAACAAAGTGATCAGTTTTTTGCCAGGTATTGGCAAGTCATTCTAATGTTTTGGAAGTAGCTGAGAAATACACAGGGATCCCGCAGCCAGTTGATGCTTCCTAGTGGCCTTAACTAACAATTTGTTCTAATCAAAGAGAGACTTTGTTAAAATTTTAATTAATCTAAATTAATCTTCCTAAGATCCGAATCATGTTTACTTTGAGATTTTCAAATTATAATCATTGAGAGCCTGTAGGGCCAATGGACAGCCCCAAATTACAAAATTCCTACTTATTAGTTCCTTCCATTACAATTTATAAGAACTTCACAATGCAGATATCAAATCTTTCTCATGGCTTGGGGGACTCTGCTTCTTCCTCTCAACATCATTCACAGCACGAAGTTATCATTCACCGCATACAGTTCAAAACATTAGCACAAAAACAGACAAGGGAAAAACAAATTGTTTCAAGAGAAAAAATGTGGTTCTCATAACTGCGGCATTGTCTTCCCTTTTAAAAACAAAAGTGTGCTGGTGCATCTAATGGCAGCACCAAACTTGTCAGTCCAACTGCATATGGTGTTCATGAGAATCAGGTGTCATGAAGGGATAATTGGTTTCCACAGCAATTGGATTCCTGCAATCTCAAAACCAAAAGGGGAAGCAATGGCAACTGGTCTGTGGCAAGGAGAAATGGCTTTGTTATTTTAATTATAAAAGATTTAAATAAATGAAACAACCTACTCATCATGTATCTATTTGAGAAGAGGGAATAAATAAGTTGCCAAATCAACCCCCAAAACCAAAAGCTAAAGTGACAAATTTGAAAAGATAAAGAACAAACGCCCTCACTAAGAGGGTAAAGCGAAGGTGGGAGGAAGGGGGTTAGGGAGAAAGGGGAAGAAAAACGAAGGGTTGAGAAAATGAATGAAGAGAAAACAAATCACAAATCAGGTACTATAAAGCAACTCATTGGTCCCTGGGAGCTGGGTGGTAGTAGTGATGGTGGGGTTAGTGAGTGAGAAGTCTCAAACTTCTGCCTTGCTGAAGAAACTATAAATATAATTAGTAGCTCATATTCACCAGTTTTTTTTTTTAAAGATTTTATTTATTTATTTGATACAGAATGAGAGAGAGAGAGAGCACATGAGAGGGGGGAGGGTCAGAGGGAGAAGCAGGCTTCCCACTGAGCAGGGAGCCCGATGCGGGACTCGATCCCGGGACTCCAGGATCATGACCTGAGCCGAAGGCAGTCGCTTAACCAACTGAGCCACCCAGGCGCCCTATTCACCAGTTCTTATTATTAGACATCTAAAATTAGAAAGATACGATCTTATCTTTTAATCTGAAGTTTGGGGAGAAAAACAAGCAGAACATCTAATGGCTAGCATATATTAATCATTAGTAAAATTTTCAGTCTCTGAAGCATAGATCTTTTCTATCTTGCTAATGGAAACCAGGATTACTAATAAATCAGATATGGGAAAAAGTAATCTCATTTTAATTCAAAACAGGATATACTTTAGTTTCTTTCAAAGTCATAATTAAACCAGTCACTGACTTTTATTAAGCTGTATTTCAACATAAAATATATACTAAAAGAAACAGCAAATTAGGGGGAGAGTGGTGAAAGTCCACAAACATTTACTGACTACCTACAATAAACCAGGTAATGTAAAAGGAGGCACATCTGATAAAAAATGGAAGCTGAAAACTGCTAATGACTGTGTGAGGCCTCCTGATTATTACATTTCAATATGACCTCCAAAGAAGCCTCGGATGCAAAATGGGAATAACACTTATTTTTAAAACACATATTCTTATAAGATACAAAAAGTTTACTCAGAATTATGCTCAAAATATGGTATGCCCTTAACATTGGTACTATTTTATTATTAACTGCATAATAATATTTAACATTTTTATCACAACTACTTTCAGGATTAAAATGATAGCTTTTATCTATGGGCCAACACTGATACTTTGCATAGTAAGAACTGTTGACTAAAAAATATAGTCGCTGGTTTTATATTCATTTAGAGAATAAAAGGGCAAGTATTAATATTTGGAAAATAAGAAAATACATGATGCTGCAGCTGTGATACTACAAACTTTACACATTTAAAAGTGGATATTATAGGCACAATACAGTTATATAGCTAAATGCAATCAGAATCTGCTTTTCCAAACAACTCATCTTTAATAAAAGAAAAATTAAAAAGTGGGTATAGAACTAAAATAACTATTTTTTAATTAAGAAGGCTCTTCCTCTTAAAACAGACCAAATTAGCAGCTTTTGCTATAGTAATAATCCTAGTTACTTATACATATTCATTCATGTGTCGAGGGTTTTTTTTATCATCAGCAGAAAAACCAGAACATAAGACAGAGAAAGGAACCTAGAGATCATCTACCTATCTAGCCAACACACAATTCTCCGTTCTTCCCCTTTTCCCTTTAATAGGAAAATTAAAGCCAAGGTTCTTTATTTTTTTTTATTTTATTATGTTATGTTAGTCACCATACAGTATATCATTAGTTTTTGATGTAGTGTTCCATGATTCATTGTTTTCGTATAACACCCAGTGCTCCATGCAATTAAGGAGGCTTAATACCCATCACTGAGCTAACCCATCCCCCCTCTCCCCTCCCCTCTAAAACCCTCAGTTTGTTTCTCAGAGTCCGTAGTCTCTCATGGTTCGTCTCCTCCTCTGATTTCCACCCCTTCATTTTTCTCTTCCTTCTCCTAATGTCCTCCATGCTATTCCTTATGTTCCACAAATAAGTGAAACCATATGATAATTGACTTTCTCTGCTTGACTTATTTCACTTAACATAATCTCCTCCAGTCCCATCCATGTTGATGTAAAAGTTGGGTATTCATCCTTTCCGATAGCTGAGTAATATTCCATTGTATATATGGACCACATCTTCTTTATCCATTCCTCTGTTGAAGGGCATCTCAGCTCTTTCCACAGTTTGGC